TGCCGACGTCACACAACTATGCGGCCTCACAGAACTGGGCTTTTTTCAATGGGGCCGCATATTTGCGTACCTGTCTTTGTGCTGGGACAGCATCGCATAGCGCGCTCCCAGCACAAAGGTCCTGGTGTCACTGAGATTCCCGGGTCCCGTTCTAACAATCAGGGCTTGAGACTCCCGATTCTCTGATTAGCTATCATAGTGATCAGTCACTGTACAGCCCAGCCCCCTTGTTTTTTTTTTTTTGTTTTTTTCTTTTCTCTCTATGAATGGAGGAGATACATTGTATCTCTCTAACTCCTGGCATAGAGGGGAAAAAATGTTTTTGTTTTAACAAAAAGATAAATAAATATTAAAAAATAAATAAAAAATACCTAGATCAAGGTTTGATCTAGTTCAGTGCCAGGGTTAGTGTTTGGATCAAAGTCAGGGTCAAAAAGGCAAAGGTCAGGACTTACAAAATAAATTTGGTATTAGTGTCAAGGTGTTTTAGGTAAACAAAAAACAAAATGTGCACTAATTCACCTGGATGTACAAAGTAGGTGTGATGATATGTATGGTTTTAACACATGTCAATGTTGCAAAATTGTGCTGAGGCATTAAGATTTGTTCTACTCTTAGGCATGAAGGGGTTAAACATACCAACAGCTGCAGTGAGCTGGCGGCAGATGCACGATTCAGCACATCACACAGTTTTTTTTTAAGTATTTTAGTCCCTTTTCTCAAACATTATTTGGAGTGCAAAAAAGTGACACTTCAGAGCTATTGGCTTCCACTGCTGTCATTTAGAGACAGTGAGGAGGGAGCAGGGCGGGGCCAAGATGCACTCTGGGGACCATCAGGGGGTTGGGGGGTAAGGGAGACAGGAGCACCTGCTAGGGACCTGAGAAGAGGAGAATAGGATCTGCTCTGTGCAAATCCAATGCAGAGAGAAGGTAAGTATAAACTGTTAGAAAAAAAAAAAAAAATCTTGAATCTTTACAATCACTTTAAAGCTGCATTTGAAGAAAAAAAAAAAGTTACCCTTTTATCAAGGGGTAACGAGTAAAGGGGAATAACCGCAATCACAGGAAAAATACTGCTTTCGAAACGATCGTACGATAATCTGATCATTAGTAAACCGCTTTCCAGAGCCGATCAGGGTAGATTGCGAGAAATTATCCGATGGGACAAGAATTAATTTTTCCTCGTACAATACCAGACCGGACCATTTTCATTTAATCAGTACAGTTTGTGTGTACCTGGCTTTAGTTTACATTTTTTTTTTGTTTTAAAGATGAGCACTTCAAGCTTAGATAGCAAGCTGAATAGAGGCGACACTCTTGTTTTTTGCAGGTAAATCCTAGTTATAAAAGTATATATAGCCATTTTTTCTAGTTTTGCATGGAGTAGAGAAGTGTTAAAACTGCCAGTTTATTTTTCGCAGTTTATATACCATAGGGGAAATTTCCCTTCACTTATTGTCCCACAAACAAGACACACTTTAGAGGAAATCTTCAAACATTTTAGGGAAATTCCCTCTAGACAGATGTCCGCAGAACAAGTGTCCCTGTTAGAAGATTTGCTCTTACTTTTTGCTCTAGGGACATCCCCACGTCATCCAAAAAAATTGGAAAATAAAGTTTTGCATAAAAATAGGAGTTTTTTTCCCCCCCTCACACTCGCTACAAATTTCAGAAATAAATACTAATAGAAAAATACCAGCTTTAATAGAATACAACAAAAAGAAAATCTAACCTAGGAATGCAAGCCAGATATGATATGAGTCTTCTGAGATCCTCTTGTCTTATTCTGTCATGATTTGTTCGAGCTGGAAATGTTAAAATTGGACCCCCTCGTTTATCTCTGCCTCCTGAAAAACAAAATTTTTCAAAGTAAAAATCTCACACTATATTTGCGCTACTTTTTTTTTATTAAATCTATATCTTCTGTAAAAAAAAAAAAAAAAAAAAAAAAAACACACTTTAGACTTCAAAGTATACAAACTCAATAAAATCGCCAAACTTTTCGTAAAATGTAAAAAAAAAGATAGTCAAGTAAACAGATACCAAATACGTCAAGTCTCAAACCTGCCTTGACAAGGCAAACACTAAGATACCCAAATACGTCCAAAGGCGACGCTTTAAGAAAGCTTATAGTTAACCATAGAACGATGGCCCTAGAATTATTTCTCTCATTCTGGCATGCATACTGATACCAAACACGTTGTCATTTATGTACATATGTGAATTGTATGTGTTTGTGTGCATGTGCGAAAGAGTGGGAGGGAGGTTTTTTAAAAAAGCTTTTGTTTTTTTTATTTAGATTATAATTCATTTTTTTTTATTTTACCATTTCTTACTAACCTTATTGCATTTCAAGGGCTGGCTAGTGAGCCCCCTAAGTGACAGCACTTTTTGTGCAACATTTACTCTTCATGGAGACATTAGGGGTCTTTAGGACCCGTAATGACTTTTCTGCACTCTGCCTGCTCTGATAGAGGAAACATCACCCTGCGATTCAGCGGATTCATCCAGTTCTCCTAACCAGAATGTGACAGGTTCATACTTTACGAGAGAGATGGAGGAAGCAAACACACATTCTTGAACATCAAGGCACACTTTATTAGGCATAAAAAAAAAAAATAAAATAAAGGGGGGGGGGTGTGTGTGTGTATAAACGAGCGCTAGGAAATAAATTATGAGCAGCTAGCTAGCATAAAGGTATAACCTCTGAACCTTTGGTGTAAAAACTGTCAAAAAATGCAGCGCTATGATTCAAACGATAAAATGAACAGTACTATAAACATAAATCCGTATAAATGCGCTGTGGAGCGCTTGAGTGATGGCAAGTGTAAAAACAGCTTTGATAGTGACATTTAAAGTGCAAAAAGTGACATAATAAATAGACTACAAAATCACACAAAATAACAGTAAAACGTCCAATAATAAACCATAGGTGAAATCCGTGACTGTGAATGAGTATATATTGCACTAACCAGATAGCGCAAATACATGCGCCTTTGAGTTGTCAGACCACTCCTGGTCATCTGGATCTGGAAAGGCGAGGATCAAGAGATCATCTGGCAAACCAGCAGCAGGACAGGTGACCAGCGTGTCATCACTCTCCAGGTAACATTACTCATCCATCCAGCAGGGGGGGGGGGGGGGGTGTCACACTCCAGGTATCATATGATCTCCTGATCCTCGCCTTTCCAGATCCAGGTGATCAGGAGTGGTCTGACAACTCAAAGGCGCATGTATTTGCGCTATCTGGTTAGTGCAATATATACTCATTCACAGTCACGGATTTCACCTATGGTTTATTATTGGACGTTTTATAGTTATTTTGTGTGATTTTGTAGTCTATTTATTATGTCACTTTGTGCACTTTACACGTCAATATCAAAGACGTTTTACATTGCCATCACTCAAGCCCTCCACAGCACACTTTATTAGGCAGTCTAATGAACAGCTCGTAAGGCAAAAGCACAAAAAATGTTGCATTTCTTTGATAAAAGAAATGCACCAATTTTATTCATAACTGGAGCAGACAAATTCTGCAGTGGCTGTGCATGACAACCAATCTGCCGCTCTCTTCAGTCTGTTTCGTTAATCTTTGAAAACGAATAAAAGATACTGATTGGCTGCTCATGCACAGCTGCTCCAGATTCTGTCAGCTCTACTTTTGATAAACTTTCCATCAGTTTTCACTGTAGTGCCATGTGGTGCTCCCAATCCAAGTTCAACTGAATAAAATGAATGGCACTGCAGCACACTAACATACAATACTAACTTAATGTGTATTTTTTACGAACATAAAGAAAACAGTGGGGCGTAATTATTGAAGAAACCGCCCGAGCCCCACTGCGACTCAGCGATGTGCACAAGAGCCTTGGCTCTTCAGCCATTGGCTTCCACTGCTGTCATTCACAACCACTGAGCCAATTGGGGGGGGGGGGGGGGGGGGGGGGGGGGGGGGGGGCAAGCCGCAGCTGTGTGTGTGATTGGACATGCACAGCAGCAGCTTGGAATTTGAGAGCCATCGAAGAGGAGGTAAAGGGCTGCTCTGTACAAAAAAAAAAAAAAAAAAAAAAAAGTCATATATACCTGCTCTGTGCAGTGGTTAATTGCCTTTCATATCACTTTAACTAAAATATTTTGTTTCCTATAGAGAAAAGATCACACAGTGGAAGTCCTTGCACTGTGGGATACCTCATACATCAGCCAATCTGTACAGAGCTAGCCTGTGTTTTAAACCTCTTGAGGTAGCTATATGAGAGATGCATGCCTTTCCTGGAAACATCCAATGATGGGTCTAGTGCAGTGTTTCTCAACTCCAGTCCTCATGGACCCCCAACAGGTCATGTTTTCAGGATTTCCATTATTTTGCACAGGTGATTTGATCAGTTTCACTGCCTTAGTAATTACCACAGCTGTTTCATCTGAGGGAAATCCTGAAAACATGACCTGTTGGGGGGTCCATGAGGACTGGAGTTGAGAAACACTGTCCTAACCCAAAGTTGCTCATCCATGTCTTTATGGACCCTGCTTTGTGCACTGGTGTGCAGTCATGTTGGAACAGAAAGCAGTCATCCCCAAACTGTTCCCACATAGTTGGGAGCATGAAATTGTCCAAATTGTCTTAGTATGCCAATGCCTTAAGAGTTCCCTTCCCTGAAACTAAGGGGCCAAGCCCAACCCCTGAAAAACAACCCCTCCACCAAACTTTACACTTGGCACAATGCAGTCAGGCAAGTAGTTTTCCTGGCAACCGCCAAACCCAGACAGGTCCATAAGATTGCTGGACAGAGAAGTGTGATTCGTCACTCCAGAGAACATGTCTCCACTGCTCTAGAGTCTAGTGGCAGTGTGCTTTACACTACTGTATCTGACGCTTTGCATAGCACTTGGTGATGTAAGGCTTGGATGTAGCTGCTCAGCCATGGAAACCCATTTCATGAAGCTCTCTATGCACCATTGCTGTGCTAATCTGAAGGCCACACAAAGTTTGGAGGTCTTTAGCTATTGACTCTGCAGAAAGTTGGCGACGTCTGCACACTTTAACGTGGCCTCAGACCCCAGACCTTCTGACCAAACTCGTGACTGGAGGACTAGCCGATCTAAAACCGCAATGTCACGTGCGTAACAATGCCACACCCAGCTGAACCCTGTACAACAATTTTCCAGCTGATTGGACCACAATCGATGTACCGGCAGCCTGAGCGATTGTTACTGGGTCAGGTTAATTACGCAATTAACCCTTCACACTGCCACCACCTCCTGTTTGTACAGAGAAAGAGGAAACTCAGCGATATCAGTTATAACACTATAATGGTTGAGGTAATCGTCTGTATAACAGAGGGTTAAACAAACAGTAGCGTTCTCTTTAGAGGCAGGAATTCGTAAACTGCAATAAAGCCCTATAGAAGAAACAGTTCAACACAGATCAGTTCCAAGTTTCAGAGCAAAGTGGTACGGGTCTCCCCAGGTGGTATTGATGTTAAAATGGGAGACGTCTTCAACTTCCACTCTTAGGCCTGACAGCCTATTTAGTAGTCCCCAGCAGGGGACCAATACCCCGTTTAGGGCGTGGAGGTATGGGTGGATACCTCAACTAGAGCCAAAATCTCCCATAACTCATTATGGCCCATAACTTTCCATCTGCACAAGTGACATTCCACCCACGGGTAGATTATTATGCAGACACGTCTGAGGATTGATTAGATCTGAATTATGAAATTATACACTGTATGGTTCACGAGATCTACTTTTATGTTTTCCTATGTATTTGAGACAATGCGAGTGACCTACCAAACTGTTCACCTTCTTGTGGCCAAATTGACGATATGTCCAGTTTTTATGCAAGTCTCTCATATTCCAAGATATGAGACATAGGGGAAAAATGGATTTTAACAAAGGTTATCTGATCAAGTTTCCTGGGAAGGTTCTGTGAACTCCTGGGAAAGCTTGCCTTATCTTACACGAGGTGTTAAATTGCACAGGTTCTTTGGACAGCTAGGCCCCGACTCAGGTGTTTTATAGCTCTGGGCTCCCTGCTGGCTCTAGCCTGCCAGTGACCCACAACCAGATGTCCTTGTGAACAGAGAGGGGGGGAGGAGGGAGGGGGAGAATGAAGGGGAAATATGTTTGCCAGGATGGTTAACCCCTTTGCCAAGATGGAGGTTGAAGCCAAAATGGTTGAACCTCGACCATCTCTGGGTATACGCTGTTACATACCACTTCGAGGCCGAAGTTGCTGTTGTGCCTTGCTGCTTCCACATTGTTATACTACTAACAGCTGGCCATGGAATATTTAGTAGCAAGGAAATTTCACGCATGGACTTATTGCACAGGTGGCAACCCATCACGGTACCACGCTTGAATTCAATGAGCTCCTGAGAGCAACCCATTCTTTCACAGATGTTTGTAGAAGATGTCTGCATGGCTAGGTGCTTGATTTTATACACCTGTGGCCATGGAGGTGATTGGAACACCTGAATCCAATGATTTGGACAGGTTTCCCAATACTTTTGGCAAAAGTGTGTGTATTTACACAGTTAGGTCCATATATATTTGGACACAGGCACAATTTTCATACTTTTGGCTCTGTATGCCACCAGAATAAATTAAAACGAAACAATCCAAATGAATTTGAAGTGCATTCAGCATTAATTCAAGAGGTTGACCATAAAAATAAAGTACAAATTTTAGGAAATGCAATCATTTTTTACACAGTCCCTCCATTTTCAGGGGCTCAAATGTAATTGGACAAATGAATATAATCATAAATAAAACGTTAATTTCCAATATATTTTGAGAATCCTTTACTGGCAATGACTGCCTGAAGCCTGGAACCCAAGGACATTACCAAAGACTGGGTTTCCTCCTTTCTGATGCTTTGCCAGGCTCTAACTGCAGCTGTCTTCAGTTGTTCTTTGTGTGTCTTTTCACCTTTAGTTTTGCCTTCAGCAAGTGAAATGCATGCAAAATTGGGTTGAGGTCAGGTGATTGACTTGGCCATTGCAGAATATTCCCCTTCTTTTCCTTCAAAAGCTCCTGAGTTGCTTTTGCAGTGTGTTTTGGATTATTGTCCATCTGTACTGTGAAGTGCCGTCCAATCAACTTGGCTGCATTTGGCTGAATCTGGGCTGACAGTACATCTCTAAACACTGTAGAATTCATCCGGCTGCTTCTGTCACATCATCAATAAACACCAATGACCCAGTGCCACTGGAAGCCATGCATGCCCATGCCATCACACTGCCTCCACCATGTTTTACAGATGACGTTGTGTGCTTTGGATCATGAGCTGTTCCAAGCCTTCTCCACACTTTTTTTTCTTCCCCTCATTCTGGTACAGATTAATCTTAGTCTCATCTGTCCAAAGAATGCTTTTCCAGAACTGGTCTGGCTTTTTAGATTTTTTTTGGCAAAGTCTAATCTTGCTTTTCTATTCTTCAGGCTTATGAATAGTTTGCACCTTGTGGTGAACCCTCTGTATTTGCTCTTGTGAAGTCTTCTCTTGATTGTAGACTTTGACAATGATACGCCCACCTCCTGGAGAGAGTGCCCTTCACTTGTCTGGATGTTGTGAATGGGTTTTTCTTTACTATAGAGAGGATCCTGCGATCATCCACCACTGTTGTCTTCTATGGACATCCATGCCTTTTTATGTTGCTGAGCTCACCGGTGCCGCCTTCTTTCCTCAGAATGTACCAAACTGTTGATTTGGCCACTCCTAATGTTGCTGCCATCTCTCTGATTTGTTTCGTTTTTGAAGCCTTACAATGGCCTGTTTCACTTGCATGGACAGCTCCTTTGAACGCATTATGTAGGTTCACAGCAATAGATTCCAAATGCAAATAACACACTTAGAATCAACTCCAGACCTTTTACCTGCTTAATTGATGAAGAAATAACAAAGGAGTAGCCCACACCTGGCCATGAAACAGCTTTAGATTCAACTGTCCAATTACTTTTGGTCCCCTTGCAAAAGGGGGGATGGCTACTCTTAAGAGCTGTAAAAAACCCTTCCTCCAATTTGGATGTGCATACCCTTAAATTAATCCAGAGAGTGTGCACTTTCAGTCAATATCCATTATAGAACTATAGCTTGAATACATTTTGGTAAATACCTGAAAATAACTAAAATTGTGCCTGTGTTCAAATTTACAGTATCTCACAGCAGTGAGTACACCCCTCACATTTTTGTAAATATTTTATTCTATCTTTTCATGTGACAACACTGAAGAAATGACACTTTGCTACGATGTAAAGTAGTGAGTGTACAGCTTGTATAACAGTGTAAATTTGCTGTCCCCTCAAAATAACAACACACAGCCATTAATGTCTAAACCGCTGGCAACAAAAGTGAGTACACCCCTAAGGGACAATGTCCAAACGAATTAGCCATTTTCCCTCCCCGATGTCATGTGACTCGTTAGTGTTACAAGGTCTCAGGTGTGAATGAAGAGCAGGTGTGTTAAATTTGGTGTTATTCACTCATACTGGTCACTGGACGTTCAACATGGCACCTCATGGCAAAGAACTCTCTGGAGGATCTGAAAAAAAAAAAAAAAAAAAAAAAAAAACAATTGTTGCTCTACATAAAGATGGCCCAGGCAATAAGAAGATTGCCAAGACCATGAAACTAAGCTGCAGCACAGTGGCCAAGACAATACAGCAGTTTACTAGGACAGGTTCCACTCAGAACAGGCCTCGCCATGGTTGACCAAAGAAGTTGAGGGCACGTGTATCAAATTGGTCTGCATGGCTGTCATCCCAGAAAGAAGCCTCTTCTAAAGATGATGTACAAGAAAGCCCGCAAACAGTTTGCTGAAGACAAGCAGACTAAGGACATGGATTACTGGAACCATGTCCTGCCATCTGATGAGACCAAGATACACTTATTTGGTTCAGATGATGTCAAGCGTGTGTGGCGGCAACCAGGTGAGGAGTACAAAGACAAGTGCGTCTTGCCTACAGTCAAGCATGGTGGTAGGAGTGTCATGGTCTGGGGCTGCATGAGTGCTGCTGGAACTGGGGAGCTACAGTTCATATTGAGGGAACGATGAATGCAAACATGTATTGTGATATACTGAAGCAGAGCATGATCCTCTCCCTTCGGAGACTGGGCTGCAGGGCAGTATTCCAACATGACAACGACCCCAAACAACTCCAAGACAACCACTGCCTTGCTAAAAAAAGCTGAGGGTAAAGGTGATGTACTGGACAAGCATGTCTCCAGACCTAAATCCTATTGAGCATCTCTGGGGCATCCTCAGACAGAAGCTGGAAAAAAATGGTGGCCACACAAAATATTGACACTTTGGGCCCAATTTAGACATTTTCACTCAGGGGTGTACTCACTTTTGTTGCCAGCGGTTTAGACATTAATGGCTGTGTGTTGTTATTTTGAGGGGACAGCAAATTTACACTGTTATACAAGCTGTACACTCACTACTTTACATTGTAGCAAAGTGTAATTTCTTCAGTGTTGTCACATGAAAAGATAGAATAAAATATTTACAAAAAAGTGAAGGGTTTACTCACTTCTGTGAGATACTCTATATGGACCTAACTGTAGTGTATGTATGTATGTATGTAGATAGTACGGATATCAAATGACAAAAGATTGCGCTGTATAGACTGCAAAAATGGGCAATTAAGAACATATTCAAATCCTGACTTCAACAGCAAGCAATTGCATTTGAGAATAATAGTACTGAGTATATGAATTGAGGGTGGGTGTCAGGGTCCTGTCCACAGCAGGAGTTCTGGCGTTTCTGCCAATACTCTACAGAGAAGGACGCAGAAGGACACATCAGCCTCAGTCTGGCGCCAGACGGCCTTTATAAGGAGACTCATCACTTCCTCTGGTTGCTGGATGATCTCTAGCTCCCCGTGGTTTGTTCCTGTGACTTTCTGATTGCGACCAGGCTTGTACTTCGACCTGTCTGCTCAACTGAACCCCTGATCTGACCTAGGCTTGGCTAAAGGATACTCTCTCTCTCGCTCCTCCGTGTATGACCTCGGCTATCCCACCTGACCAAGTCTGTTCTGTTCCCCACCAGGTACCTGACCTTGGCTCGAACTGACTAACCAGCAAACATCCAAATCCCGGAAGGCTTGCATACCACGCACAGGCGCCTCCAGTCTGCAGACCTATTCCTGTGCACCAGCTGTGCTCCTGAGTGGACCACCAATCAGCACTCCTACAGGCGACCTGTGCAACTTTGGGCCTGACTCCCACTGTCCCACTCTCAGGGGAGTCCGGAACTTAGCCGCAAGGGAAGCCCTCTTTCCATTGGCCTCCATCACCAGGTACGTGATAGTGGGCCAGGTTAAGGCTGCACCTGTGCATCTTGACCTATAATATCAAAAACCATAGAATGACAAGCCATGAGCAGTGTGTCAGTGGTGGCATCATGTTTGGGGTCTCCAGCAGTCCCAACAGCAGGGTCTCCTGTAGGCCACAAAGGAGGAAAAGGAAAAGCTAACTCACACCAAAGTACAGTTCTTGAGTCTGAGGCCAGGAGACTGTGTATGGTCATATTATCAGATCTCCAAAGTGAGACAGTTTATGAACTTGGGATCTTGAGGCTATGTATTATCATAGAGATACAGCTGGTGGCAGCAGCTTCAGATTAGGTCATAATCAAGGAGAAGCCAATAGTCTCTGAAACAAGACAGGACTGTGACATGACTCTTGATAGTGCTGAGAGCCAAACACTGGTCCGAAGAAAGCCATTTTCTCCCCTGCTACTACTATAGTTTTAGTTTTTTAATTACATTTATACATTATTTACACTTTTATATTTACAGATTAACATTCATACATTGTCATTTTTGTTTTGTTTTTACCTTCATTTTCCTTTATTATCTCATTATTACCATCTCTGCCCTGGTTGAACAAACACAGGCAGGGACAGCAAGGCTGTTAACTAAAAATGCTTAAAAGAGATCTTATCCATGAACTACTGGGCGTCAAGGATGTACCATTGGCTGAAGGTAGTCCAATATGCACTTGAGATACTGCTAAGGGGGTTAATTTGTGACTGAAAATTTAATTTTAATAAACTTGAGTGGCAGTTTGTATACGTAGGGACATTTTTCTATTATAAAGTGGAATGTTAATATAAGGGTTACATTTCTCAGCACCATACAGATTCTGGGAATGGCCATGACTGTACACTGTACTGCACATGCAAACCAACACAGTGTACAGGTAACGTTTTTTGGCTGAACAGACCTAAGAAGTCTGGTAAATTTTGTTTTTCAAACTTTAGTTTCACTTTAACAAAACCTGTACAGACAACCTGTGTTGAATTCCCATTTTGGAAATGCTAGCTTCATGGCTGTGATACTGATCCACAAGCTGCAATAGTTTAAGTCAATGTCCCAGAATAAATTAGCAGATTAAGAGCTCAGATGTTCTTCACGTGCTTGACGCAGAAGGTGCTGA